GCTCTGTGACACCCCACTGTTTGTGACATCCCACTGTCTGTGACACCCCACCTGCTGTGTGACACCCCACCTACTCTTTGACATCGCACTGTCTCTAACACACCACCTGCTCTATGACACCCCCACCTACGCTGTGACATCCCACTGTCTGTGACACCCCACCTGCTCTGTGACACCCCCACCAGCTCTGTGACACCCCACTGTCTGTGACATCCCACTGTCTGTGATGCCCCACCTGCTCTGTGACACCCCACTGTTTGTGACATCCCAATGTCTGTGACACCCCACCTGCTTTGTGACACCCCCACGTGCTCTGTGACACCCCACCTGCTCTGTGACACCCCCACCAGCTCTGTGACACCCCACCTGCTCTGTGACACCCCATCTGCTCTGTGACACCCCCACCTGTTCTGTGACACCCCAACAGCTCTGGGACACCCCACTGCCTGACACCCCACCTGCTCTGTGACACCCCCACCTGCTCTGTGACACCCCACCTGCTCTGTGACACCCCCCCACCAACCCCCAAACCCAATTCTGAGCCTCCAGCCTTCTTGAGCCTGGGGACCCCTGTCCCTCCTGTGCACCTGTGTCCAAGCCATCCTGGGCACCGTCACCCGGTGCACAGCACCACCTCCCGCCACACACACAGCCCTGGCTCCAGCCCTCACTCCCTCCTGTCCCCTCCCACGTCCCCGGTGTCCTCCTCTCCCTGGGCCTCCCTGGATGCCCAGTCTCCTCGTGTGATGTGTCCTTGTCCTTCCCCTGCTCACACTGCCCGCTGTCTCCGAAACAGGAGGATCTGTGACCCCCCTGCACCCTTGGCCCTGACCCGCCCCCGCCCACCTGCCAGTCTGGCTTTGCTTTGGTCCCTCCCAACCCCTCCTCTACCCAGCCACGCCCCCTAGCGCCCATCCGAGTGCCCCCTCCGCCAGGCTCACCCCAGTCACTGTCATCTCCAGGGCCAGCAGGGACGGCCCTTCCCCTCTGTTCCCTCTGCCGCCCAAGCCCGGCCAGGCCTGGAACCTGGGAACACTAGCCCTCTCTCTCCCCTCCCCACTCCCCCTCCAGGTCTCTCCTGTCCTCATAGGTCCAGACCTAGCAGGAGGCCTGCGTGGTCAGGTCGGCTCACACCATGGGCGCAGCAGAGCCCCAGGACTGGACACCGGGACAGAGCTGCTCTCCCCACCCCCTTGGCCACCCACCACGGGGCCTGGAACAGAGACCCTGGGCAGCTGGCCCCACTCGGCCGCCACACACGCAGGTCCAGGGTAGGGGCACGCAGTTGGACGCCATGCCTTGGACACACAGAGGCAGAGGACAGAACACGGACGGGCAGGGCCGCGGACAGAGACGTGCAGGCACCACACACGTGAGGGCCACGCACACACAGCCCCAGTCGTGGAGGACGAGGGTGCAGTGGGCGATGGGGTGGGGGACACATTGGGGGGCGTCCCCAGGGGCGGCAGCGGCTAGCCTGGGGTCAGACACCTCCGGAGAACAAGGCCAGCCCCCAGGCCCGGGTGGGGATGGGGTGCTTCCACAGGCATCAGGGGATGGGGGGCTTCTGGAGAAGATGGACCCAGGGGGCCACCGGGTCTGGGAGGAGCCTGTCGGGCTCTGAAGCAGGGTCCCCCCAACTGCCCGGCAGCCTGGAGCCCCAGGGGTCCAGGGCCAGCAGACGGGGGAGGATATGCTGCTCCCACCACCACCCACTGCTGAGCAAAGCCCGTGGGGCCCGTGGCCAACGGTGAAAGGCAGGCACTGCTGGGGCGGAGATGCCGAGGGGTCAGGACCCTCCCGCCCCCAGAGCCTGGCCCTACACTGCCCAGCACGGCACCCTCTTCTCTCCTGGGAGCGGAGGGGTTAACTTCCTAACACGGTTCCCACGCAGGGCGCCACGGGAGGCGCAGCACGGTGCCACCACTCCGAGGGAAGCACAGGGCCTACAAAGGGACCTGGCCCCAGGCACAGGGGCCCTCGTGGAGCAGTGCAGCGCCCCCGTGTGGGCACGGGGCCCCAGACTGAAAGTGCAGCAGGAAGACAGCCGTGCGGGGCAGACACGGTCAGTGGGGCCACACGGATGGACCGCAGGTCCCCTCCGCCCAGGGCCTCACGTCTCCCTCTCGGGGCGGGGGGTGGATGCAGAGAGGGAGACCCCAAGCCCAGAGCTGCCTTCCAGGACCGGGGGCCGCTGGCTGGGGTGCCCCCGAGCGGGGATGGCTGATGCCCCATCTCCACCACCTCTGCACTGGGAGTAAGTGGGGCCCGTGGGGCGGGACCCCAGCCACTGAGACAAGGCAGGAAGCAGACAAGAGACGGAGGACACCTGGACAGACAGATCCAGCACGAGAAAGCAGCTGGTGGGGAGGGGCGGTCGGGAGAGGGAGCCGGGGAGCGAGGAGGGCGCATGTGGCTCCAGGCGGGGCCACAGGCTGGGCGGGGTGGGCTCGGGGGGGCCCCGGAACAGTCCCCAACAGAACAGAACCACACCACACGCTTTCCGCCCATGCAGTCCTACCTGGAGGCCCCGTAGGTTTGAGTTTGCGAGCTTTTTCAAGTGTTTTCACACACACACAAAGGGAAAGGAATGAAAGATTTTAAAAGAACGGGATAAGAAAAAGAAAATGAAAAAAAAATAGTCCAGGAAAGTGGGGGAAACAACAGAACAAAGAAAATTAGCACGAGGGTCAGTCCTGCCTCCGCCGGAGGGCTGAGAGCACAGTGCCTGCAGCAGTTCCGGGAAGCGGGTGGCGCCAGGCCCCCACCACCCCGAAGCTGAGTGTCCCCGAAAGTACCAGCAGGACGGTGCTGGAGGAGGGAGCGGGCAGATCCCGAGAGAGGCGGGTGGCAGGTGGGGACCCGCAGGAGGACCCTGCCCCAGGGGGAGGGCTCCGTGGGTGGACACCCCCAGGGGCAGGTAAGGGGACTCCTCGGGTTGAGAGGCCCCAGGGCTCAGCGTCAGCCCTGAGGTGGGAGGGCGGGCTGGCAGGGCAGCGCCCAGCCCAGGGGCACCTGACCTGCATGGACGCTGGCCAGCCCTCGCCCTTCTCACCTCAGACCTTGTTCTAAGCCGGAGCCTGGCACAGACAAACCCCGGGGGGCACAAGCCGTGCCTGGAAAGCCGCCTGCTGACCACGCGGGCCCCCAGGGAGGCCTCCCCGGCCCGGCCCCCTCCTCTCCCCCTCAGGGCGCCTGGGAGTGTCTGTGCTCTGCCCTGTCGGGACCTCGCTGTGGGGTCTGGGGTGCTCTCCTTCCTTGAGCAGAGACTCTTGCCCTCGCTGGGGGTCAGAGGGTCAAGGTTATCCTTTTGTTTCTAAACACGGGGCCCCCTGGAGGGGCTGCGGTCCCTGGAACCAGCTAGCATTTACCTCCGCAAGCTCTGGGGGGCTGTCGTCACAAGGTTTACACACTATGCACCTGACAGCAAGGACACTAAGCAGGGGGCGGAATGAAGGTGAAAAATAAAAGCCGCAAACTAGAAAACAGAACAAAATTAATCAAATAATCACACACGATTCCTTTTTGAAAAGTACATACATTTTAAAGAAAAAGAAACAAAAAAGAATCAAAATGATGAACGACAACCAAAAAATGGGGTTTAAGAACAAAGGGGGCTGCACACAGGCAGTGCTGGGGAGGTGGGGGAGGTACCTGTACATGGGGACGGTCACCGTGCGCTCATAGTACTGCCACGTGGAGTGCAGGTCCGTGCGTGACAGGTTGGTGGCGTAGAACCTCCAGGCGGACTGCGGGGAGGACAGGACGTCAGCTGGGCACTAAGGGGTCCCACCGGCCTCTCCCAGGGCCTCGCCCCTGCGCATCCCCGTGCACGGGGCTCTGGACTGAGGCCCCGTGCTGCTCCCACCCCTTCAGGCCTCAGTAGCCTCTGCAGAATGGAGACGCGGCGGGGTGCTGGGCACAGGTCAAGCACCCGGCAAGTCTGCAGGGAGCTTCGGTTCTTTCCTTCCATCTGCCCTACCTGACGCTTGGAAGCCATCACCCGGCATCGTGGTCACCTTCCTTCCCTCCCCGGGGGACGGGGTGGAGGGCAGAGCCAGGGACAATCGTCCCCACTTTGAGGCCGAGCCCCTGCCAGGCGCGGGCCTGCCCTGTACACCGACCTTGACCCGGCCTGGGCTTCCACTCCTCACTCTGTTTGTTAACTGGGGTAAAATACACATTGAATAAAATTCACCACTTTAAAGCGTGCAATTAACTGACGCTGAGCCCATTCCTGATGCTGTGCAACCGTCCCCTCCAGCCAACCCCACATTTTTACCACCTCAAAAACAAGCGCCCCCAACCCACCAGTGTGACCCCCCGCTCCCTCCTGCCCCCAGCCCGCCACCCCCAATCTGCATCAGTCCCTGTGGGTTTCCCTACTGCAGACACTTCGTAGCGATGGAATCGTAGCGCGTGGCCTCCTGTGTCTGGCCTCCTTCATTTAGCACATTCTCAAGGCCCATCCCTGCTGGAGCCTGCATCCGAGCCTCGTTCTTTTTAAGGCTGAACAATAGTCAGGCGTATGGATGGACCACATCTGTGTATCCTTTCACCCACCAACGGACATCTGAGCTGTCTCCACCTTTCAGCTCCTGTGAATAGTGCTGCTACAAACACCTGTGTGAAGCTTTTTGGCTGAACATCTGTTTTCAATTCTGTTGGGTGTATACCTAGGAGTGGGATTCCTGGGTCATGTGATATGTTTAACTTTTTGAGGAACCACCAAACTTTTCTACAGTGGCTGCACCATTTCACATCCCCCCAGCAATGTACGAGGATTCTGATTTCACCACATGCTCATCGACACTTTTTAATTTTAGCCCCTCTTGGTGGATGTGAAGCGCTTTTGATTCGCATTTCGTTCATGAAGAATGATGTTGAACATCTTTTTTTTTTTTTTTTTTGCGGTACGCGGACCTCTCACTGCTGTGGCCTCTCCCGTTGCGGAGCACAGGCTCCGGACGCGCAGGCTCAGCAGCCATGGCTCACGGGCCCAGCCGCTCCTCGGTATGTGGGGTCCTCCCGGACCAGGGCACGAACCCGTGTCCCCTGCATCGGCAGGCGGACTCTCAACCCCTGCGCCACCAGGGAAGCCCCTGAACATCTTTTAATGTTCTTATTAGCCATCTGTGTACCTGCTTTGGGGAGATGTCTACTTAAATCCTCTGCCCATTTCTTAATTGGGTTGTGTGTCTGTTTGTTGCTGGGCTGTATGAGTCCTTCATATATTTTGGATACCAGACCCGTATCAGATATATGATTTGCAAATATTTTCTCCCATTCTGTGGGTTGTCTTTTCACTCTCTAAAGAGACGCTATGAACAGTGTCCTTTAACGCATGGAAGTTTTTAATTTTGCTAAAGTCTTATTTATTTTTTCTTTTATTGCTTGTGCTTTTGGTGTCATATCTAAGAAACCAAAGTCATAGAGATTTACATCCATAATTTCAACTAAGAATTTTAGTTTTAGCTCTTACATTTAGGTTTTTAATCCATTTAGAGTTAATTTTGTATTGGTGTGAGGTAAGGGTCAAACTTCACTTCTTTAAAAATGGGTCTCCAGTATCCCAGAACCACCGTCAAAGAGACTGTCCTTTCCTCATTGGATAGATGTGGCACCCAACTATTGAGACTTGTTTTGGCCCAACCCATGGTCTATCCTGGGGAACGTTCCACATGCACTTGAGAAGGATGTGTCCTCTGTGGTTGGTGACACATGTCTAATGACAGATGTCTGCAGGTCTAGCTGCGTCATGGTTTGTTCAAGTCCTCTGTCTCCTTAGGATCTTTTGTCTGGTTTTTCTACCCTTTTGTTTTTCTTACGTATTTATTTTTGGCTGCATTGGGTCTTCATTGCTGCCTGCGGGCTTTCTCTAGTTGCAGCGAACAGGAGCTACTCTTCATTGCAGTGGCTTCTCTTTGTTGTGGGGCACAGGCTCTAAGCGCATGGGCTTCAGTAGTTGTGGCACTCAGGCTCAGTAGCTGTGGCTCGTGGGCTCTAGAGCACAGGCTCAGTAGTTGTGATGCATGGGCTTAGTTGCTCCGTGGCATGTGGGATCTTCCCAGACCAGGGCTCAAACCCGTGTCCCCTGCCTTGGCATGTGAATTCTTAACCACTGTGCCACCAGGGAAATACCTTTCTACCCATTTTGAAAGTGAGGTATTGAATTCTCCAGGTATTACTGTAGAAATGTCTATTTCATCCTTTAATTCTGTCAGTTTTTGCTTCATATATTTTTAGGACTCTGTTGTTAGTATATAAATCTTTATGACTGTTTATCATCTTTATAAATTGACTCTTATCAATACATAACAGCCTTCTTTGTCTTGACTTGTCTATTTTGTCTGATACAAGTGTGGCCAACCCAGCTCTAGGTCACTGTTTACATGGAATATCTTTTTCCATTCTTTCACTTTCAGTGTATTGTCGTCTTTGGATCTAGTACAGTTGGATAGATTTTTATCCATTCCTCCAATCTCTACCTTTTAATTGGGGAGTTTAATCCATTTACATTTAAAGTAATTACTTATAAGGAAGGACTTGCTTCTGCTGATTTTTTGTTTCTCAATTCCTCCCTTATTGCCTTCTGTAGAGTTTCATTTTTTCCTAGTTATTATTGAGTCCCTTCTCTTTTCCTTTTCTGGTATTTTTTAGTTGTTTTCTTAAGGGCTACCCTGGGATTATGATTAATTCCATCTTAAATCTGTAACAATCTAGTTTGAATTAACACCAACTCAGCTTCAATAGTGAACAGAGACTCTGCTCTTGCGCAGTCCGCCCCTTTTATGTTGTAACTGTTACAAATTACACCCTCTACATTGTGTGCCCAGAAATACAGATTTATGATTATTGCTTTATGCCTTTGTCTTTTAATTCATATAAGGGAAAAAATGAGTTACAAATCAAAAATATAATACTACTCGCTTTCACATTTACCTGTGTAGTTAACTTTACCAGTGTCTGTGTGGCTTGAGTTACTGCCCAGGGTCCTTTCACTTCCGTCTGAAGAGCCCTCTCCAGCATTTCTTGTAGGGCAGGTCTATTAGCTACAAACTCCCTCAGCTTTTGTTTTTATGGGAATGCTGTTATTTCTCTTTTGAAGCATAATTTTGCCAGACCAGAATTCTGGGTCGACAGTTTTTCCTTTGCAGACTTTAAGCACGTCATCCCACTGGCCCCCATGGTTTCTGATGAGAAATCGGCAGTTACCCTCACTGAGGACCCTTGGGCACCAAGAGTCCTTTCTCTCCTGCTGCTTCCAAGACTCCCCCTGTCTGTGGGCTTCAACAGTTTGATCATAATGAGCCCTGGTGTGAAACTCTTTGACTTTATACTACTTGGATGTACAGATTCATGTCTTTCATCAAATCTGGGAAGTTTTCAGCCTTATTTTTTCAGGTATTCTTTTTGCCCAACCCCTCTTCTCTTTCTGGGGCTCCCATTATGCAAATATTGGTACATTAGATGGTATCCCACAGGTCTCATGGGCTCTGCTCATTTTTCTTCACTTGTTCTCTTTCTGCTCCTCAGACTGAGTAGCTTCAACTCACCTGTCTTCAAGTCTGCCAATTCTTCCTTCTGCCTGCTCAGATCTGCTGCTGAACCCTCTAGTGCATTTTTCATTTCAGTTATTGTACTCTTCAGCTCCAGAATTTCTATCTGTTTCCTTTGTATTATTTCTATCTCTATGGACAGTCTCTATTTGGTGAGACATCATTCTTCTGATTTCCTTTAGTTCATTTCCATGGATTCCTTTAGTCTTTTGTGCGTATTTAAACAGCTAATTGAAAGTCTTTGTCTAGTAAATCAAACATCAGGGCTTCTTCAGGGACAGTTTCTATTACTTTTTTTTTTTTTTCCCTGTGACTGGATCACACTTTCTTGTTTCTTTGCATGCCTCACAATTTTTTGTTGAAAACTAGACATTCTGAGTATTGTAATGTGGTACCTCTGGAAGTCAGATTCCTCCCCATCCCCGGAGTTTGTTGCTGCTGCTTGTTGTTGATTGTAGTAGTTTGTTAAGTGACTTTTCTAAGCTATTCCATAAACGCTGTATTCTTCGTTGTGTGTGGTCACTGAAGTGTGCTCCCTTAGTTCAGTGGTCAGATGGTGACTTGACAGACGTTCCCTTAAACCCAAAGAACCAAAGAGGAAGCAAATGCTCTCAGCCTCTGCACACCGGCCCTGTGTTGGGGCACTCCTCCAACATCTGAGAAGGTCACTTACAGCTCTGCCTTAGCCATCACTTCCTGCTTGCACGGAGTCTAAAGATCAGCCTGAAGTGAGCAATTAGTGTCTTCTCCCGTCACTTCTGAGCCTGCATCCAGCACTGGGCATGTGTGTGCCTCCTAGATCCCCCGGTGTATGGGGGTCCTTCCCAAGCCCTAATTCTTCCACGTCTCCTTCCCAAACCTCCGAGCTTCTCAGAGAGGAGGGGCAGAGGGTAGGTGCTGCGTGTTCAGGCCACGCTCCTTCCCTGTGCTACTCAAACCTCTGAACCACACATAGTGCTGTGACTTTATTGTCAATAGTGGGTGGCACTGGGGGGCATTTTTGTTCTTCTTCACACTCTTTTGCATTTAAAAGAAGTAGCCATTTGAAGTTCTTATGGTGAAAGACACATGCATACATACATACACAAAAGTAGGCTGCACCCAGGGCAAGACCACATCTTTAAAAAAGAAATGCACTTGAGGGGCCAGAGCAGTGTCCAGCCAGCAGTAAAGGCCAGTCAACTCCAAAGGTCCACTGGGTCCCCTGGGCTCTGGGAGGGGCTGCAGGAATGCTGGGCCCATCGGGCAGCCCGTGCTAGGGCCCACACTCTCAGGATGGCTCATGGAGCACTACTGGAGGCCGAGTGGCCACTGTGACCCCCAGTGATGGGGTGGGCATTGTGAGCTGGGGCAGCACAGACATTGCTCTGGCACCTACCTGCGTGGGGAATCTCTGAACCCTGATTCCACAAGTGCAGGATGGGTGTCAGTGCTGTGAAGGGACACCTTGAGGGCACCTGTGACAGCCTGGCCCAGGACCCAGGGCCCACAGAACGCTGGCCAGCACCCGCCTTGCTGCTGCCTGTGCTGTAGCTGCCAGACAGCTGAGGGCATCTAGGCCGGTTCTCAGCACAGACTCGAATTCCCCAACAGGGAGACAGACGCCAAGCAGGGCTCCACTCCAACACCGTGGGCCCAGGCCAGGGGTTCTGCCGGTCTACATGGAGGTCCACGTGGCACTGCATGTGGGGGGCCACCTGGACTCACCTGGATCAGGCCTGCCGCAGGGTTCCGCCTCTTCTCAAAGTGCTTCTGACGATGCTGTTCTTGAACTTTCAGGGCAAAGCCAGACCCCAAAATGCCCTGCAAATCACTGGGGTCAGACGATGCCCCAGGGACCACAGCCCCACACAGTTCCTCAGGGTCAGACCATGTCCGGGGGACCGCACCCCCACCCCACCCTTGCCTGCACACTTCTGGCTCCACCTTCCTGCCTCCTCAGCCCCCAGTGCCAGGAAACAGGCTGGGGGGAAAGACTTGGATTTGGGGTAAAGGGAATTTCAGGCTTACAGGAGCCTGGCAGGGCCCACTCTGAACACATCTCGGCCCAGAGATTAATCCTCCTCCCCAATTTGTCCACACTGGAGTGAGTGGAGGGGTGTGGTCCGGGGTCCCAGAGAAGGGCCACCAGGAGAGCAGCATCGCCAGCCCCGCCCCCCACAGCTGCGGGTAGAGGGTTAACAGGGCCCTTGCCTCTTCTGAAGGAGACCTGACGGAGCTGTGTCACCATACAGCACCGCTCCTGGTCACAAGGACCCGACTGGCCAATCCCACAAGGCTGGGAGGTGCTGACGGTGACCCACAGACACGGGTCAGAAGGTACAGCCTGGGGCGGCACATCCACTCCTGGGGGCTGTGGACCTGCTGGGAGCCCTGCCCCTGCCCCACATGGCCCCGAGGGCAGCTGTGGTCACCAGGGGAGCCCAGACCCCGTCCCCAGCAAAGGCAGGAAGGGGCAGGACTCACAGCAGGAAGAGCGAAGAAGGAGACGCCAATGAGGGTAAAGGTTGCCGCCAGGAGCCTCCCGTTCCAGGTCTGGGGGTACTTGTCCCCGTAGCCAATGGTTGTCAGGGTGATCTGCAGACAGCAGGCCCCGTCGCTCAGCCAGGCCGGACAGTGGCCGCCTGGAGGCCCGCAACCCGAGCCAGACCCTCCTCCTGAGGCCTCAGGGCAGCTGGACAGAACCCCCGCCATGCCGCCCTCCCAGGGCCCGAGAGGCCAGGGTCACTGTTGGCTGCCCTTCCCCCCTCAACGATCACATCCACTCTCGGAACCTCTGCTCCTTCCCTGTGGGCTGGGAGTGGGGGTCAGCCAGGGGCCAAGAGGCTAGGAGAGAGCCAGGGGCCTGAGAGGTGACAGTGCCGGGGGACCTTCCAGGGACGCGGAGAGGGTCGTGTGGGCCCTTCGGAGGGTGGCTTGCAAGCTGAGGCCAGGAGAGCGGGAGGGGCCGGGGGTGGGGCTGGAGGAGGCGACAGGAGGGGCAAGACTGGAGAAGGAAAAGGCCCCTCCCCAGGGTGTGGCAGGCAGGGCTGCGTGTTTAGAATTGCTCTGCAGTGGGGAGCTGGCAAGGAGGAAGTGGGGCCCGGACGGGCCTTCCCAGGAGCCCAAATGAAGGGGCCGTTTTCAGGTAGCTCCCACAAAACCTGCCAAAGTGGAGGCTCAGGCCTGGTGTGCAGGACCACCAAGGCCACACACACAGGCAGGTTCGGAGGCTCAGGGCAGACCATGTGGCCGGCTGCGCTGGGAGGTGGGCCCAGGCGGGCCCTGAGAGGGGAGGTCTTAGCCAAACAGCGGGAGGGGCCGAGGTGTGAGCAGGAGAGGGGACTGGGCCTCGGCGGCCCTGGCCAGGCGGCGGACAGGAGCAGAGCTTGCTCCTCGGGGGACTCGGACAGCAGGGTCAACTGGCCCCCGCACCAGAGGCACAGACATCTCTCACCATCCACCCACCGTCCACCCTGGGAATCCATCCCCCGGGACTCTGGGGTCATGCAGAGAGTCCACCCAAAGCCCACTGTGCAGTCTGAGGAAAGTCTGCAAAACGGGGCTGAATAATCATGGCTTCGCCAGCAGGGACTTCTGTGCCGGTCACCTGTGAAATCACAGCCAAGGCATTCGGGCCTGCATAGAAGGTTCTGGGAAGGCGCCAGCGAGCTGGGCGTAGGTAACAGGGAGCTGGGTGGAGCGAGAAGGACACTCGCTTCTCACCAGAAACCTCCCGGTGATTGGGCTCCTCTATTCGACTGCTTTCAATAGAAACTAAACACATTTTAAAGACGTAAAATACTTAAAATCACGACCCCCCCCCCAAAAAAAAGCTTGGCAGTGCGAAAAGGAAAGGCTGTGAAAGGACACAAGCTGAGGGCGAGGGCAGCGAACCGGGCAAGACAGAGGCCGATGCGGGCCTGACTCAGGGCCAGGAGGTGGGGAGAAACCCAAGGGCTCTCGGGGCTCAAGGAGAGGCCCCCAGACCTGGCGCTGATGTAGGCACAGGGCGCGCAGGGCAGGACGGCGAGTCTGTGCCAGGGCACCCGCACCCGCCCCAGGACTGCACACCCATGTCCTCTCCACGCCGGCGAACACTGGAGCAGCGAGAGGGGAGACGCTTCCCCTCCTGCCCACCCACCAGCAGCCGGGCCTGTACCCCCCATGCCTGGCCCTACTCTTGGGGACCCCAGAGCTGGTCAGAAAGCCTCCCACGGGGCAAAGACTTCCTAAAAATTCCGTTATCCCCAGACAGAGAGAAGAAGAAAGTGTATCCCTAAAACAAAGAGTCTTGAAAACGAGACCAAAATCACAGAGTCAGGTGGAAGACACCTCCCAGGATGTAGGCAAAGGGAGGAGGAATCTAGACAGGACACATTCCACGGTCCAGCGGTCTCACCAGCGGCCTCGGACCCCCGGGAAGAAGGGAAGGAGGAAGCTGGAACTTTTGAAGCCGCAAAGGGCACCAGCCTCCTGGAAGGAAGCCCCCCACTCCACAGGGCCCACGTTCCAGAAGAGCGTCAGGGAGGGAGGGGCCCGGCCGCCAGCGGGAGCGTGGAATTGGGGCACCTTCAGACACGCACGTCTCACAAAAACTTCTTCCCTCAGAAGATTGTGACCTCCAAACCGAGGGCAGCCTGGGGGTGGTGCTGGGAGACTCGGCACTCGGGGGCCCAGCATTTGGGGGGGCCCAGCCCTCAGGGGTCAGCGTTCACGGCCGGCGCTCGGGGGGCTGGCTTGAGCGCGCTGCAGTGGGGGGACTCCCCCAACGCCAGTGAGGCCCCTCCGAGGACCCCAGGCCCACAGAGCAGAAGAAAGGGGGGCTCGGGCAGGACGCTTTCCGAGAAGGACAGGGAGGCGGAGGGAGCTAATCGCACCCTAGCACAGAACAAAGTGAGCCTCTGAAGTCTAAAGTTCACAGGGGAGGGAACTCCCTGGAGGGTCAGTGGTTACAACTCAGCGCTCTCACTGCCGAGGGCCTGGGTTCAATCCCCGGTCGGAGGGCTAAGATCCCGAGAGCCGCGAGGCGCGGCCTAAAATAAAGTGAAAATAGAGCTCACAGAGGAAACCCCGTGTAGGTGGGGAATATGCAGATGGGTTCCCCCGTCTCCTGGGGGGGGGGCGCCAGAAGGGGGGGATGGGAGCGGGGGCACGTTTTCACTGTAACACTCATGCACTATTTGGCGTGTTTAAGATTTTGATTCAGTTCTTAAAGATGGGGAGGCCCCCCCGGAGGGCCTGGGCAGGGCAGACCGAGAGAGCGGCCAGGCCCGGGCTGTCCGCACAGAGGCCGGACGCACAGCGGCTGTGGGCTCTGATGCGCGGCTCCCGGTGCCCGGGCCTCAACTCCCCTCTCCTGCCGAGCCCCACCCCGGCCAGGCTCCCGCTTCCCACGTGGTCGCTAGAGGGACACAGACTCCGGGCCTCGTGGCAATTAACACAAGAACTACAAGTAAATTGCTTTCCGGCTTAAACGCCGGGAGAAAGCAGGCGTCCCTCTTGCCAGCGACTGGATTTGCAGCATCTGCCCCAGGTCACATGGTCCTCGTTTTCGGAACTGGGTCTGGGATCCCAGGAGACAATGGGCTCAAACCTCCCACGGGACCCTCCACCGACCCCCGGCCCAGTGCCCCTGGGCTGAGTGTCCAGTACCCCCAGGAAGGGCTCACAAAGGAGGGCACTCACCAGGCCCCACCAGAGCGCGTCCGCGTAGGTGTCAAAGTGATCGTTCTCCCCCTTCTCCGCCAAGTACACCAGAAACGAGGCCAGGATGAGACAGAGGAAGCCAATGTACCAGGCAGTGACCAGCTCCTGAAAGAGGCACATCACAGCCGCTGGGCCAGCGTCCAGCCCGACTCTCCCCCGGGAGCACGAGGCCCCGCCTGCCGGGAGGTTTGCTGGGCGCCGCATCCCCCGGGCTTCAGCGGGTGGGCACCCCTCCCGAGAGCCGGCCGCAGAGCCCCAGCAGCCCCGATCCTGGGGCAGGCAGGAGGGGGAGCGCGTTTTCCAGTTCCAGCCCCGGGTGGTCCCACACCTATATACCTCACCCCTGGAGGACGGTGGGTAGGGATGGCTCAGCGCCACATCCACCCAGGAAGGGAGTGTCCCCGGGCGGCCGTCAGCCCGTCAGGCTGGAGAATCTTGGGCTGCTGGGACCCTACCCCAACTTGCCTGAGCCTGGGGGAGACACCCCGACTGAATGCCCTCCCTGGGGGTCCAGCACCTCAGCACCCTGAGGGGCGACCACCCTCTCTGTCCTGCCAGCCAAACCCCAGCCTCTGGGCTCAGACAGGAAGGGTAGTGGGGAAGGGACTCTTGGGCCAATAAGCCCACCCACAAGAAGACAGCCTCTTGGCAGAGCCTGCCAGGGCGGGGTCTGGGCGGGCAGGGCCCCTGGCAACACAGGGACGGGATCTGGACGGGACATGGGGCTGCAGCCCCCTTGCGGGTCCCACGGCCAGCGGCCACCGCAAGCCTCAGCCTAAATGGGCAGGAGCCTGCGTGCTGGGGGGCAGGAGCCTGGGTGCCGGGGGGCAGGAGCCTGGGTGCTGGGGGGCAGGGGGTGCTGATCCGGCACAGCCCCCCAACCAAGGAGCGAGCCGGCTCCGGGGCCCAGAGGGACCAGACCTGGCAGACAAGCTGGAGAGAGGAGGAAGACGGTCAAGTCATGGGAAGACGCCCAGAAGAAACGAGGGGCTGGGTCCTGCCTGCTCACCTTGCTGTGCGCGTAGACCACGGAGCCCAGCAGCTTCCAGGTGCCGCCGCGCCGGTCCATACGGATCATGCGCAGGATCTGCAGGAAGCGCAGGCTGCGCAGCGCCGACGTGGCGAAGACGTTGCCCTGGGAGCCGGCGGCCAGCACGGCGATGGACGCAATGAGCACCATGACGTCTGCGGGGACAGCGGAGGAGCTTGGGCCGGCCCCCTGCCGCGCAAGGGCAGCCCCCCACCAGGGCCCCGGGAGGACGGACAGACGGAAGCACACAAAGTGCTGGCGTGGGCCTGGCTCCACTGTCCGCCCAGCCAAGCCCTGCCCTGGGCACGGCCGCCCGACACCTCATAACCATGGGCTCTGACACCAAGAGGGCAGGTGACGAGAAACTTCCAGAAGGAGCCGATCCTGCAGCCCTGCCTGCCCCCACCTGCAGCGGGCCTCACCGATCACACAGAAGGGCTTCCGCGCAAACTTGAGCCGCCCCCTCCAGCCGCGGTACCGGCAGCAGCAGCCCGCAGCCCAGATCCGCACGAAGTACTCCACGCCGAACACCACGATGGTCACGATTTCCTGCAGGGGAAGCCACAGCTGAGCCACTGCCGGCTCAGCTGGTGGGGGGGGGGGGAAGGGGAGAGTGCTGTGTAGCTGGTGTGCGAGTGGGGACCCCGTCCTGTGTAGCTGGTGTGCGAGTGGGGACCCCGTCCTGTGCAGCTGGTGTGGGAGTGGGGACCCCGTCCTGTGTAGCTGGTGTGGGAGTGGGGACCCCGTCCTGTGCAGCCGGTGTGGGAGTGGGGACCCCGTCCTGTGCAGCCGGTGTGGGAGTGGCGACCCCGTCCTGTGTAGCTGGTGTGCGAGTGGCGACCCCGTCCTTTGCAGCTGGTGTGGGAGTGGGGACCCCGTCCTGTGTAGCTGGTGGGAGTGGGGACCCCGTCCTGTGTAGCTGGTGTGGGAGTGGGGACCCCGTCCTGTGCAGCCGGTGTGGGAGTGGGGACCCCGTCCTGTGCAGCCGGTGTGCGAGTGGCGACCCCGTCCTTTGCAGCTGGTGTGGGAGTGGGGACCCCATCCTGTGTAGCTGGTATGGGAGTGGGGACCCCGTCCTGTGTAGCTGGTGTGGGAGTGGGGACCCCGTCCTGTGCAGCTGGTGTGCGAGTGGGGACCCCGTCCTGTGCAGCTGGTGTGCGAGTGGGGACCCAGAGGGCAGAGCGGATGGAGGGTCTCAGGTAACTGCCAAGGGGGCGGGGCTCCCATGCCCGGGGGCGGGGCTCCCATGCCCAGGGGCGGGGCTCCCATGCCCAGGGCAGCCCCAGGACACAGCGCAGGGCAGGCAGGGGTGGAGGGCTCCCCAGAGGTGCGTCAGCTTCCCTGGGGCCCCATATACCTCCATCACCAACAGCAACACAGAAATTACCTGTGGTTGCCATGGCGCCTGCCCCACCGATCACGGGGTTGCTGTGAGCTTCCCAACCCCCAGCCCACGCCCACATCTGCCAGGGAACACCCCACACTATGGGGTGGAGGGGGCCCCGGGGCCCTCAGGCTCTAGTGAGAACAGAAGGCGGGAAAGGGGGTGGGGACGGGGGCGCGCTATCAGGCACTGTGACGACACAGGGAGAGGCCAGCCTAGGCTGGAGGGTAACAAGGTGCCGGGGGTGTTCGGGGGAGGGGCGGGTGGGGGCTGAGGATGCGGCAGCATCACCAACGTGGGGGGGAAGCTGGGAGGGACCCAAGGGCTACCAGGAAGAGCAGGGGCCATGGGTGCCTGGAGGACGGGGGTCCCTGCCGGTGGGCGTCTGGGAGATCAGACCAACGGGACCGGGGACAGGCTGCCGCCCACGGGCTCCGCCGCCATCAGGCCCGTCTGCGCCGACCCGCGGGACCCACCAGGATGTAGAGCGCGCCCTCCGAGCTCTTCTCGTACTCCTTGATGGTGGAGAACACAGACAGCACGAGGCAGGAGAAGACCAGCAGGAACCTGGGGGCCGGAGCAGAAGGCGGTCAGCCAGGCCAGGCAGCCAGCCGGCGCGGAAGGCACAGGGCAGGGCAGGGGCACGCGGCAGCCCAGGGCTCCACGGTGATGCCTGGGCCCAGCTGCTCTGCAGGACGCCCACCACACTCCCCCCGCCGCCCCCACCAACGTCCCTCGCCAACGTCCAACGTCCCTCTCAGAGGGACCACAAACGGGGGACACTGCCTTCCGTGCCGCTGGGCAAACAAGAAATGAGTGAACCGCACAGCCCGTGCCCACACAGGGCACCCCGTACGCAGTCACCCCTCTCCTCATCCACAGCTGTTTCCTCACCAGGCCCCGAAGTAGACACTTCCTGTCTCCCGACTCACACCAGCCTCACACACACTGTCCCAGCGACCTTGGCCGCCGGACCTGTGTCTGCAGGCGGTGCTGGCGGGGGCACTAACGGAGCCGATGGGCAGGAGGTGTCCAGCCAGAGCAGACAGGGCGGGGCTGGGGTCCCAGGGAGCAGAGCCCCTGAGGGCTGAGGACAGCGTCCAGGCCTCCTGAGGCACAGAGCGCCTGGTACGGGAAGCTGGGCAGGGACCCCACACCACGGCCCTCCCACTTCATCACCACTGGGACACCCCCATCACCCCAAGGAGTCGAGACCACCATCCTCCGTGGTAGTAGTGGAGGAGGGGAGATGAGACCCTTCAGAGCCAAAGCCGCGTGGTCCAACCTCAGCCGGGCCACAGCAACAGTGACTCGGGCCCTACCCCGCCCAGCCCAGCCTGCGTCACGGGGCGGCGGCCCCGCCCATGTGCCCCAGAGGCCTGACCGCCAGGCCCAGAGAGGCGCAGACCCGCCTCCACATGCAGCCCCTCCCCAGAGCGTGGCCCCGAGGATGTCTCCGGACGTGACCCCAGCTCCAGGGCAGAGGCGCTACGGGGCGGATAACGGAGGCCGCTGGCGCAGACAAAATGCACGCGGGGAAACGGTCACGTTTCAAAACCTCAATTAATTTCCTTTGCTCATTAGCCAATTTATTCAATTAGCTGAGCCCTGGGGGAAAAAATGTCCAGATGCCTCATGTGCCTTATACTCGTAATTCTCTGCCTGCGGTGGGAAGGAGCCCACGTGCCCAGAGAGGATCTGCCAGGGTCAGAGGAGATCCCAGGGTGGTGAGTCAGGACCCCGGGGCCTGGGCAGTGGGAGAAACTGGCAGGATCCCCAGCTCAGCTCAGCACTGGACGCGGGAGCCGGGGGGACGCATAGCATGGTGGGCTTCCCTGTGGAGGTGTTCACAACGCTGCAGGATGAAGAGCTGGTGGGGCCAACAGGGAAGGGAAAGTGTTCCTGGCAGAGGGAAGGGCAAGTGGACTGGCGCCAGGAGGGGGTCGGGGGGGGTCGGGGGAGACAGTGTGTCCAGGACCCAGCAGCGGGCAAGTCTGACCAGACTGGAGATCGGGGCCCTGGGATGCCTGACGCCATCGTCACCTATCAGGGAGACTGAGTCCAGGGCTGCGCCCACAAAGGGCAGCTCCTCGTGCTTTATAAAAACATTCCTCTAAAGAAAAACAGGAAAGACCCAGGTCCCAAGGTGACCAGGCCCTCTCAGCCCAGCCTCCCCAGGGCGCTCTGACCAGCACCTCGGAACCTTCCAGAATGGCCAGGGTACGCTGCACGAAGCGCAGCCCTTCCTAGCAGGCAGCCGCCAGGCTGTCGGGAGCCCCACCAGCAGTTCAGGAGACAAAGCTGCGGCCCAAGCTGGGAACCTCCCCAGCGGCCCAGCCCCAGGAAGTGCCAGTGACATTCCAAGTTTTGTTTTTGATGTTTTGGGACAGATGGCCGCAGATGGCACCGCCTGGGGTGTGCAGGGGATGCAGCAGGATGGACACTCCAGAAAGAGGCCAGCACACCCACACGACAAGGAGGAAGGAGAGGCAGCAGCAGACTCCCACGCGCAGCGGGCACCCCAGCCATGCCTCCAGGTGCAGGCAGGGCCCCCGCAGATCAAGAAAGGGACAACTCCAAAGGGCAGTGATGTCCCCAACCCCCTGGCCACTCACAGGTAGCCGCGATGGGGAAAAGGCACTTACTTCCAGGTCCCCTCCTGTCTGCGGGTAACCCTGTGAGTGGCGACCACCCCTGCCCAGCACACAGCCGCATCCTGGGCCCGGAGACCTCCGAAGTCCACGCCCATCCAGCGAGGCTGGAGGGGGCTCCGCCTCTGGCCTCGTGGTCCCAGGCACGGCATCCTCCATTACAGGGGACACTTCCCTGGGGCCCAGCCCCGGGGAACCAGGGGGTGGGGGGGCCAGCCCTCCCGCAGGACGACGCAGGTGATCACCCCCAGCCCTGAGGCCCATCGCAGGGCCGCCCGCTGCGGTTATGCTGGGGCCCTGGGCACTGGAGCATCCTGGAGACCCTGGGGAGTCTGAGCCAGGCGGGGGCCTTCCTTCCCAAAGACCTCTCTTGCCTCGGTGACCCGGGTTCTGGCTCCTGGCAGGCTCATGGAAGCTGCCAGCTGTGGATCTAAGGGACTCCCCTTCTCCCCTCTCCTCCTCTGGAGAGGCATCGGGGAGGTGCAGGGTGGACGCCGCCGCACCACTGGGAGGCCCCGGGAGGCAAGCTGTGTGCTTAGCACCGACCCCCAGGCCCCAGAGGACGTGGTGGCTAGTAGCTGGGTCCGCTTCCTCCCCAGATGGGATCGGTGAGCAGTTCTACCCGCCCACAGGCTGGGAGTCCCATCCCCCTGCTGCAAGGTTCAGCTCAATGGCCAGCACCATCCTGTACATCTCCCCAGCACCGGACCAAGGCCCCAGGGCCCTGGGGGAGGGGAGTTCTCATGCCCTCCAGCCTGGGAACTGTCCAGGCTGCAGGAAAAGAAAGGAGGGGAGGCAGGAGGTGGCTCCAAAGGCAGAACATGGTGGCTAATTATGATAATGAATTCATCGTCAGGATGCTTCCCTGGCAGCGGTTGCCAAGGAGACGAGCAGCTCAAGCAGCTGGTCCCCAGCCCCAGATTCCAGAAGCTGTGCTGGGGGTCAGGCAGAGCGGCAGGCCAGCCAGGGACCTCAGACCTTGCTCACCTGGGCAGGGGGAGGTAGGCCACCTGGAGAGCGAGCACCAGAGCAGCCACATCCCAGATGCACAACCAGGCCTGCGCCACCCAGTTCACGAGTGGCCACGAGGTGGGGCGGGCCCCAGCACTGCAGGACCCACAGCAGCAGGAGAGGCCTCAGCCAGACATCAGGAGGCACTTCCACAGCCTGAGCTCTGGGCAGAGATGGACCCCTCTTTTGAAACAGGTGGAGGCACGGCAGGGTCCTCAGTGTAGGGATTCTGACGCATGGAGAGACAGGCAGGGCAGGCGGGAGGGACTGAGGGTGGTGGAGGCTTGGGCATTGGCCAGGGGAGCCCCCCAGTCAAGGCCTGACAACACCCCTCGAGGCGGTCAGCCCACCCACAGCCGTGCCTCAGGTCCTGGGTGCACACGTGTGCGTTCTGCCTGCCCTGCACTCTCGGGAGGGGGCAGCTGCCACCCCCAGAGGGAGACCCCACTGCTTTCGGCCCTCCCCTCCCCCCCCATCTCACTGCAGGGAATACTTCTTTTCCGGAAAACGTGACAAAGTCTCTGCCACCTCATTCCCACGTCTGGTTCCCACTGTTGGGAGGGCACCAGGGTGGGTGCCATGGTGCTGGCCCACAGCCCAGACTCCCTCGCTCCCTTCAAATACTAAGTTGGGAGATGACTGGGATTATTCATCTCATTTTACATATTTAGTGAAATACACCTTTTATAAGCGAATGGCAGGGTTGGGAGGAAAGGAAGTCGTGTTATCAGCACCCCACTTGCTCACCCCCAGCCCCTGGCTGGCAGAGCTGGGAGGAAAGGATGGGGAGGGGTCCCTGACATCAAGCACCACCCCCCAGGCTACAATTCAGCGATGCACCAGGCAGGGGACAACCCAGCAGATTGGAAGAAGATGCTCATCCGTTTTACAGATGAGAAAACGGAGGCTGTGATGCAGCTCACCGCGGCCACGCGGGGCCGAGCCTGAGCACCCCTTCCACTGGCGGGGTCTCCCCAGGATAACGTCCATCCCAATAAGGCCGGGTGGCCCGGGAGCCCAGGAGAGGACGGGGGAGGAGCCGCCAGCGTGAGGCCCAAGCTCCCGCACCGGGTCCCCGGGGAACCTCCCGCTGCCTCGTCCATCAGGACTGCAGTTGGCGCTGCAGCCCGGAATCTAATTTCACCCTTAATGAACTGCTCTGCCTCCAGTACCAGGGGCCACTGCCAGTCTCTGGGCGACAGGAAGCCTGGACTCCTGACGGCTGCTCCGGGCGCAAACAAGCCAGACGCGAGGAATCACTCTGAGATCCCGCCGCAGCCGGAGGGAGTGGGAGGCCGTGTGCAGACCCTACCCTGGAAACGAGCCCTGCCCACAGGGCCGCCCACCCAGGCCCACTGCGGTCCCGCCAGGCCCCCGTACACGGCAAGTAAGTGCTCAGTAAACGCCTCAGACCTGACAGGCCCCAACCCAGGAAGTCCCAGACCCTGGGAAGGTCCAGCTCCAGCCTTGGCATTTGAGGCCTCCCTTGAATTAAATTAAATTGAATAATTGCACATTCTGTGGATTTCACATCAATTAAAGAAAAAAACAGAAACAGACCAGGTTGTCAGGGACTGAAGCAGAGGGTAAGGCCCATCCGCCCGTCTGTGCCCAGGCAAGCCCTCCCCACCCGTCCCTCAGCTCCCCTCTGCGCCCTCCCCACCCGTGCCTCAGCTCCCCTCTGCGCCAGCACAGATTTGGGCGGGGGAGCCTACCCCTCTGCCCACACTGCTCCCCGCACCCCCTGCCGCCAGGGGACCTGACCCCGTCCTTCAAGGAAGGACACTGCTCTGAGGCTTCTTGGGGGGCAAGGAGGGCCCCAGCCTCCCCCTGGGACGCCTTAGCATCCACACGTGGGGAGCAGGCAGCCGCTGGCTGGTTGATTTCCTGTGCTGTGGGGCGGGG